CTGTGATCCATAATATTGTTTATGCAGATCTTGCCAAAATTTTTAAATCTTTACATGTGAGATAAAATCATGAAGAAACATTACTCCATAGATACTTCAACGTTCTTGGGAAAAGCAAGATTTTAAAATACAATATAAATACTAAATTCCAAAAGAGTTACCAGTAACTTATCCTGACACATCCTATAGGCATTCAGCCATTTTTAAACAAGATGGAATTTGCTCGAAATGGTAATGTGCACAAAAATAGTTAAGTTGTGCTACAATCAATGTTCGTATCCCCCAAAACTCATATGTTGAAATCCTCACCCCCAAGGTGACAGTATTAGGAAGTGATTAGGTCATAGGGCAGAGCCCTCACAAAAGGCATTAATGCCCTTACAAAAGAGGCTTCAGAGAGTTGCCTTGCCCCTTCTACTATGTGAGGACACGGCAAGAAGGTGCCAGCTATGAGAAAGTGGGCAGCAGACACTGAATCCACCAGTACCTTGATCTTGGACTTCCCAGCCTTCGGCACTGTGAGAAATAAATTTCTGTTATTTACAAGCTACCCAGCTTATGGCATTTTGTTACAGCAACCCAAACGGATCAAGATAAGTGGTAAAGTAATATACTTATATTTTTAATAAGTTGTAACTCTCATCAGTTTCACTAGTTGCAGAGAATAGGGAAGCAAAAGATTCTGGGCCCAAAAAGAATGATCCCAACACCTGACAGGCAGCCACACATTGGGACTCAGAATCACAGCCTTGATGCCCTTCCCAGACTGGACTGGTCCCTTCACAGCAATTCTGGGAAATGTGCCCTAATGTCTGGAGGCTGTAGGTAGAATTAGAAAAGCCGATAAACACCAAAATAGCACAGAGGTCAGGCTGTGGTAACACCCAGAGACAGAGGTGACCACATCCCACTGCCTCTTAGAGAGTGTCTGAAGCTCCGCATCCTGTCTAAAGCAGGCTCACTTTTACTTGATCATTTGCCAAGTCAGATTTAAAACCTGTCTCACCATACAGTAAAAGGAAGCCCGTTTATTTTAATTAGAGTGATGTTAACCACTGGAAAATAAAATTAAACATTTATTCAAATTCAATAATTGAACTTACAGGGGGGGTACCTGCATTATATTCCCAGTAAATTTCTGCAGAATGCCTTCAATATCTTCTTGTGTTATTTTATCTGCCAAAAATGAACAAAAAGGTGACACTAAAACAACCACAGAAGAACATGTGCTATTTTCACAGCACCAACGGCTCTGAAAATTCATTTAAACATCTTTTCCAACAAAGCATATATTAGTGTATATTTTACATGCCAAATTCTACCTTGTTGAAAAGAATAAAATAAGCATTAATGAGATAAAAGGGGGAGAAAGTCTTATATTGTTCTTTATTAAGACTAAATTTCCTTTGCTTCAATTTTATTCTCCAATAAAAATGGTACAATTATCTTATATGCATTTAGCTCGTTCTGACTATGGCATTGAGAAGACCTGAGGAAAACACAATTTTAGCTATAGAAATGCTACTACCAGTGATCAATAAATGAGGTGTTCAGAAACTAAGCAGAAATAATAAATAAGTTCTTCCGTTAACTTCTCCAGGCATCAAATATTGCAAATATCTTAATGTGGAACTAAAGATTATCAAGTATTATCCACATTTTAAGTTTTATATGATAAGATTTCAAAACTGTTCTATGTTATGGTGTAAATTTTACACACTCACTTTCAACTTTGTTTCCAACTAATGTTGTAGTAAAGTTTGTCTCCAAGTGAAATCTCCACCCCTGTCCCTTCTCTGCTCTTGGAATTTCTCTTTTAAATGAATAGTCTCAGCCTCAAAAATAAGCCAGTTCGTTGGTTAGAGCATGGTGCTGGTAACATCAAGATCACGGGTTTGGATCCCTGTTACAGCCAGCCAACAAAACAAAAGAAAACAAAACAAAAGCCAGTGCAAGAAAAGAATATGCATAGCAAGGATTTCAGCATGCTTACTAAGCATTTTTTAAACAATAATTTTAGAAAATTTGAATGAAGACATAAAGTTTTCAGTATCTGTCAATTAGTCATGTTTCCATCTTTTGTTTGATATTCTTTCAAATAAAATGATGTAATCATTACAGTTCTATAATTTTAAAAACTGAAAACT